TCAGCTTTATAAAGCCCGAGGGGGGAGGGGACCAAAACGGACAAAGAGTCCTCTTGCATCTAGCAATGGAAGCAATCTCTTTCCAGTTTCTTAGCAAGTCATCCAYAGGAAAAYCTGAAAACAACTCCAAAGATTTTAGCCAGTGGACAGCTCTTAAAAGGATTCGATCTAACAACTCCAAAGATTTTGGTCCTTGTCTTCTAATATCCTTGATTAGTTTGTTTATATGACTTCATAATATAGTAACCTCTTCTTTTGTTTTACTGTTTACTTTTAAAAATTCCTGCAGGGTATTCAAGTTTCCATTTTTGGTATTTCGTCAAGTACTCATTTTAATATTTTTGACAATGATCTCTGCCTACCTTTTACTAGAATGAAGGACCTAGTTAACCAATCAGTTGTGTTTATCTGATAATCATAGCTCCATGATGTTGCTATGATCATTAAAAGGGAAAGTAATGTCAATGTTTTGATATACAATATACAGTACCTGAGTAAGAAAATCATTATATCCAAGGTAAAGGAGTGTAAAAGGTTCTGAGATATGTTGAGTACAGTTAGCTGCAAATGAAATTTCACATCATTTTAACTAATGTTTGGAATCAATTATTTATTCTCCAATGCGGTTCTGTTGTCTTCAATTGGTATTCTGTGTATTTGGTCTTGATTTTCCAGTGTCTCTTTAGTCTCTTTTAGGGGATGTTTTTTTGATAGTTAACGATTGGATCATTTTATTATAATAAACAACAGTGTACAAAGAGGAATAAAGGGGTATGGTTACCCCAAAGAGTACAGAAATTACAGATGAGCCCAATACAGTTGTTCCCTAACAACCCCTTACCTAACTAGAGAATTTGCTAGCCCATCTGCCTCCCTCTCGGTAGACCCAAGCTGCCTTCTTTACATCCATATTATCCATAAACCCAAGCCTTCATTTCAGAAGGTATGGGAGAAATTGCAGACGTCACCATGGAAGCAGGCTAATCTTAAGGAGTTTCAGTTGATTGTTTAAAAATTTAATGAACAGTGGACACTTTTGTCCTTTACATTTGTATCTGTTAGACTTAACATTTGAATGGTGAACAAGGTATATGTGAGTATTTTTTGAAACTATAGGGTATATATAAGTAGTTTCCTGAAATCTCAGGGTATATACAAGTAATTAACCCTAAAAAATATTGTTATTATCATAGTTAGCTATTGCAAATTATATGAAGATCTTTATGTCACTGCTAATTTATATTCATATTTTACTTTTTTTGTAGTGATCCTTTTTAATTTTTAGAGTTGTATTTTATACTGAGGACTTGTACATGTTTTTATTGTTAGGTGATTGCCATAACTGTTGAAGAAGAGGGTGATATTGCAAAATTCAAAGATTACAAACCTTCAAAATCTGGTGATGCTGAGGTAGTTAAAAAGCCAGCTGATTCCGCTCCACCAAAAAAAGAGGTGGTTGAAGAGCCTCTTGAATCATCTGGGCCCAAGATTTCTAAGACTAGTGGAACTCCTCCAGCAGAAGATCGCATTTTTGCCAGTCCTCTTGCAAGAAAAATGGCAGAAGATCACAATGTTAGTCATTTTAGTTGCTCTGCAGAATTTTCTCTTATCCAGTGGGCTAAATTCTGTAGCCATTAATAGTCATTGATGCTACCTTTTCTCTCATGTCTCAATTATGACGTTGTTAGTCGGAAGTTTATCTTTCCTATTCTCTCAATCCTGTCTTTTTATTGTCTTCTATTAAATACAGATACCTCTTTCAAGCATCAAAGGGACTGGTCCTGATGGACGCATTGTAAAAGCTGATATTGAAGATTATTTGGGTATACTTTTTTCTGACATTTCTCTTATTGATCGATTTTTTCATGTAGTTCACATTATTGTCATCCAGTGAAAGTTTATATCTTTTGACCTTAAATGGACATGTTGTTAATATGTTGGTGTGTATCATTTATTGGACTCTCAGGTCTCTCTTTTTATTGTTCTCTTGTTCAAAATAGTTCTTCTTGTTGATTACATATCACGTGGATCTTATAACTTCCCTACTAGTTTTTTAAGATGTATTTGTTTTGACTGCTGCTGATTAACCAAGATTTTTCTTATTTCTTTTGTCCTATTTTGTAGCTTCCAGCGGAAAGGATTTTCCAGCTCCAGTCTCCAAGACCAAGGACACAGCAGTAGCAGAAACAATGGACTACACTGACCTTCCACACTCTCAGATAAGAAAAGTAATCACCTATAGCTTATTTATTGCATATTTTAACAGGAATAGAGAGACCCATCATGGTGAAATGGCAACTTTATTATCTCTTTTGCCCTGTTTTTGACAGGTCACAGCTTCACGCTTGCTACTCTCAAAACAAACTATTCCTCATTACTACTTGACAGTGGACACATGTGTGGACAAACTTATGGAGTAAGTTGTTTTCTTTCATTTCTTGAAATATAAAATAATTATGATCTGAATGTTTCTGATAAGAAAAAGAACTTGGCCTGAACGGCTTCTGATGGTTAATCATCACAACTCATATTTTGTACCGCAGTTTGCGCAGCCAACTTAATTCTCTACAAGAAGCTTCAGGTGGGAAGCGTATATCAGTTAATGATCTTGTCATAAAGGTATCCTGTAATTCCATCTTATTAAGAAGTTTTGAAACAGAAAATGGGATTAACAGAAGGAATGTTAACACTCACATGATATTGAAATTTTGAAATGACTTATTTTAGGGCATAAAAATTGCTTTGTCCTCATGTGATGCCTCGAGTAATCATTGCTTAGGTGCTGGCTAGTCAAACATAAAGATAGATGCTAAATATAAGATAATGATGCAATCTCATATATATGTTAATAAACAGTGCAACATGATGTAGAACATTTAATGTGTGTGTGTGTCTATATTTGCGTGGCTTGGCAAGGCCAGAAATGGAACTGACTTGGGGAGTCATGTAACAATTTAAACTTCTGTAAATTATGATCACTTGACATTGTATTCTTTATTCAGATTAAGTTTTTGCATGTTCATAATTGGAAATTATAAATTTATAAAACTTGTAATTATAGAGTGAAACCCTGATTGCAGGTATATAGAGATGATTTGGATATTAGATGTAAATATGCTGCTAAACCAGAAAGTCCCCTATCTGATAGATGATTCAGATTGGCCATGGGATATATTCATGTGCAGGATCATGTAAGGAGCTTACCTAATTGACCCAGTCACATTAGCTTTCAAGAAGAATTCCATGGTGCCACAGTGGATGCAATTGGGGGGGGGGGGCAGGCAATAGGTGGTGATCTATGCACCAAATTGGCATCTAATGCAGCATCATTGGAGCCTCAAACAACTTGTAGAATCAAATTAAGCTTTGATGGTTGCTCACTTGGTAACCCAGGTTTCTCTGGCCTAGGTGCTGCCTGTAGAAGACCAAATGGAGGGATCACTCTACAATTTTCTGGACCTATACAAGCAGAGCCGGCCTCTATTCTCGAAGGCCTGAAACTATGTTTTGCTTTGTGATTGAAAAATGTACATGTGGTATGCGACTCTTTAAGTAATGATAATTAGATAGATTTATTCTAGTGAGTTGTGAGGATGAACTTGGGTGCATAGGGCACACCATTAGAGGAGTAGGGTACCAGGCATATGGAATAAATTGCTTGTTCATCTGGTTTTCAAGGTCTTCCAATGCCTTAATGCCCTTAACAGAAATACAGAACCCTAGTTATTGAATAGGGAGCCTTATTTTTCTTTGGGGGGGATCATAGAGTTTGGCTGACTGTATCAGTCTTCTATATTGTATTTAATGCATTCTGTTTTCTTTGTTTTGGTCAGTTTGAGGCACTGTTTTTGTATTGTTCCCCTGTCATTTCTCGGATGGAAGGGGGCTCCATCTAATTTTATTTTTCTTTGTGGTTACATTTTCTCAAAAAAAAAAAAAGATCTTATCTATTGCTGATATAAAAAGGTCTTCATCCAAATGTTGACATGGATTATGGGTAAGATTTAATGAAGGTTGACTTCATAGTTTTCAAGGCACCAAGGCGAGGCTAGGTGACAGGGGGATGCCTTGTCGCCTAGTCGCCTAGGCGATGGATTTTTTTAAGTAAAACCATATATCCTAGGGTAGTTCCCTAGGTTCCATAACCATCTTTCCTTAATAATTATTCATAATTTTCATAAGAGAAGTATAAATTTCATGTTTAAGTCTAGAAAATCAACATTTTATGAGAAGAAAAAGTACAAAGGAAAGAAAATTCAAAAAATATAGGGGCTGAACCCTTACTTTTGTTATAGGAAAGAAGAAAAGAAAAGGTGGAAGAAGAAGAAGAAGAAGATGTGGAAGAAGAAAATGTGTTGATTAGACAAAATTTTAAGTTCTTCCCTTGCTTATTGGTTCAGGTTTTGAAAATTTTGAGGGTTCAATCAAGGATCAAAATTTCAATACGATACGCCCCGTATCGGGCATATTGTTTTGTATCTTTGGGGTCCCAATACCTGTTTACAGGTGTTTTTGGGGACCCATTTTTTTAAATAATATATATATATATATATTTAAAAATGAAATTGAAAACCAAAGAAATAAAAAAATAGGGGGAGTATCGTTATAAGTAACGATACACCTCTGCCAATACACAAGTGTATCAATACTTTGAACCATGGGTTCAATACAGCAGTTAGCAATGCTTGCGTTGATTAAAACCTAACAAAATTAGAAAATAATAAATGTCTATTTTATAATTATAATGTAAAAAATAAAAAATATAAAAGTATTTTATAACCCAGTGCATAAAACTGCTTGGGGACTGGGCGAGGCGAGCCTCCAAGGGCGCCTTGTCGCCTAGGCGTCACCTTGACAACTATGGTTGACTTGGAAGAGTCAATGTAACTTTGGTAGGAGTCAAAGGAATCATTGGAATCAAACACTTGATTGATTCAGGTACAGAAGGATCATGGATCTACAATGGCTTGGTTCCGCATGCTTGAGAATGGAATCAACTTGGGAGGGAGTTGCATATAACACAGACAAATAAGACTGGTATATTCCAATGTTTTAAAAACCAACCTGGAAACGGAACTATTTTGGTCACCGGTTTCTAGGTCAGTGGTCGAACGGTTCAAACTGTATCACCTTTATATTTGAATATTAGGGTAAGATGCACATATATATTATTGATGAGATGGGGCTGTGGGCTGAGAAAGAAAGAAAGAAAGAAAACAACAGATTTCTCAGATCTGGCGATGGCAGCTGACAGATCTCTCTCTCTCTCTCTCTCTCTCTCAGATCTTAGAGATATGTGGGATTTGAAATCTCATTTCTCAGTGCCCCTCTCAAGTGGACTGCTTTAACTTGAGATTTTTTTTGGTTATTTTAATTGTTAAAAAATTAAACTGCAAACCATTGTCCGGGTCGAACAGTTTAGTTGTTCAACTGCCTGGATCAGCGGTTCACTAACCAATTCAACGTTTTTTTAGAAAATCCGGGCCAAGTGATAAATGGAACCAAAGAGGTGACCGTTCCGGGTCAAATGGTTCAACCGCCCGGGTAAATAATGGTTTTATAATCATGGTATATTCATTATAATCTACATCAAGTGTTTCGACTTTGCTGTAATAACAGGCTGCAGCTTTGGCCCTCCGCAAAGTTCCTCAGTGCAATAGTTCATGGAACAATGACTACATCCGCCAGTAAGTAAAGAATAACACATTCTATATTCATTACCAAGTAAGCTGTAAGCAGACGTTTTATATTAGTGCTTCATCACATTAGTTCTAACAGTTTGCTGTCTACACTGATCCAGGTACCACAATGTGAATATCAATGTGGCTGTGCAGACCGATAATGGGTTGTATGTCCCTGTCATCAGGGTGGGTTATGGGCCTGATTTTACTTGTGTTGAAAGGACTGCTTACTACTTCCATTTCACCGAACATTTTGAAAAACCATCTATATTTTGTACTTGCAGGATGCTGACAAGAAGGGATTATCTAAAATTGCTGAAGAAGTCAAGCATTTGGCGCAAAAGGCCAAGGAGAACAATTTGAAACCAGAGGACTATGAGGTGCTTTGGTGCTTTTAGTTTCTTACCACTTGCTAGAAATAGACTGGTTGCATCATGATATGGGTAATATCAATATCGAGTTCATTGTTTTTGCAGGGAGGTACATTTACTGTTTCAAATTTGGGAGGGCCCTTTGGCATCAAGCAGTTCTGTGCAATCATCAATCCTCCACAATCTGGAATTCTTGCTGTAGGGTCAGGTAAGTTTTAAGCAGACGATCATCTTACAAGTTCCACATATTCATACTTTAGCATGTTGCTACCGTTAATGATCTCATTACATTTTATTTTTTGACTGCCTTTATCTTGAACAGCTGAGAGGAGGGTGGTACCTGGTAATGGGCCTGAACAGTTTAAGTTTGCTTCCTTTATGTCAGTTACACTAAGCTGTGATCACCGTGTGATTGATGGTAAGTGGTCAGCTGTAAGTTTCTAATGCATTGAGTATTTTTTTGGTAGGAACAAGAAAGAGGCTATAATGCATTGAGATTAATAGACCTAAACATTCCACCCGTTTTTTTCCTGATTAGGTGCAATTGGCGCAGAATGGTTGAAAGCATTCAAAGGCTACATTGAGAATCCAGAGTCCATGTTGCTTTAATTGATCATTTTTTTCCCAGAGAATTTTGTTGGCTGTCAATCCAAATAAGGGACTTAATGCGATCCCAACTTTGGTTGGTTCTTTTCCCAAGTTTAAAACTGTTTGGCTGGATTCAATCATGGAGCACCTTTCCTCGAGGATTGCTTGCCCTAGAGGGGGATGAGGCACCGAATTGTGGTGATGTTGAAATGAACTCATTTTTTTGCTGTATAGAGTGTAATGACCAAGACGGACCCCCCACCCCCAACTTCTAATAAGCAATTTAAAAGCTGTAACTTAGAAATCTTACTTTAATCTCCTACTCTCTTTAAAGAAAAAGAAAATGAGGCTCCTATTTATCAAATATCAACCAGGAAAAGAAGGCCTACTTTGATTTGAAAATCTCATATTGTTCTTTTATACCTGGGCTCTGTTTAACGTTTATTCTTTAGGCTTTATATACATCATCATCATCATCGAAGGCATGTCCGAAGTATATATAGGGTGGGCTACATGGATTCTGTTTCTCCATTCCATCTTTTCAGTGTCACATCCATCTTTAAATTATGGGCCCTTAAATAGTTTCTTATCTGCTTCCATGGTTCCACCTAAGTCTGTCTGTCTCTCTCTCTTCTAGCCCCTTTAGCTTATCATAGATGCTGTAGGTTTAGTTTTTATTACCTATTGGATCTTTTTCATATGCATATTAAGGCTAAGTTTGGAAGGAGTACAAATACAAATATATACTGTACAAATGTATACAGAATAATATAAAATACAAGGTTTTGCACTTTACAAATTCGTATTTGCACTCCTTCCAAACTAAGCCTATTAGAAAAAAATCTCACCTTATGTAGGAGTTGGAATTAACACTTCTTTATGGTGCAGAAAACCAGCGCGGCTTAATCTAATCCAATCCGACGTGTCAAACGGGATGCATTCTCCATTCTCTATGTACTAGCTAATGATTTGGTTGTTCCTTTTAGACGCTCTCAATCGTAACCAATTAACCATCCAATTAAATATCCTTATATGGAGCTAAAGGGCCGTTTGATAATGGCTGAAATAAGTGAACTGAATTTATTACTTTTATCTTTTAGTGGATAATAAAGTTGAAGTTTCAAGGCTATAATTATCTATACAACTTTCGGCTTCAGAAATTAAAAAAGCCTAGAACCTCCTTAAAAACTTATTCACCAAGTCAAAGCAATAAGCTTTTCAGTTCAGTTATCAAATGGCCCCTAACCATCTGGTATATGGTAAATTGGTAATCTATACTATACTATATATAAAAGTGTGAATAAGTGACTTTTATTGGACTAAAGTTATCCTCCATTTATTTGTTTCATAAATGGTATAAAAGTCATTTTATTATAGATTTAATACTAGTTTTAATGGCTATTGAAATTAATGCCCATATTTGTGTAGTTAATCCATTTTTAATTGTAAGAGTTAAAAATATAACTTCAATTATTACTTTTTACCTCATTTAATTCATTTTCATTAAGTCTTATATTTAAGGTATTAAATCCCATTTTCTCTTATTAAACCCTATATTTTTTTAAGTTATTTTTCACTAATAAATGTTACTAATTAGATCTATGTCAAAATTTTTAATTAAATAAACCCATATATTTTAAAATTGACTAAAAAATAAAACTAGTTTTTATTCATGTGGTGACTAAGCAATTCAATCATTCAAATCAAATTGATCAACCTATGAAGTCATAGTTAGGCAATAAAATTTTTTAAATGAAAATAAATATAGAGAATTACAAAAAATGTAGAAAAAATAAAACATTTATGATATTTTTATTAATCAAATTAAAAAATAACTATAATAAACAAGAATGATTTTTATTAATCAAATTAAATGTGTTAACCTTTAATGTCATGAATAAATAATAAAAATTATTAAAGTATAAAATACAAAAAAGAAAAAATACATAAATTTTGCAAGAAAGCATTTAGGCACATGTATAATATCATAAATTAATCATATTAAACAAAAAGTAAGTGTCAAAATTATTTTTACACACAAAAAGACAAAAAATAGAAAAAATTGAATACATATATATATATGTATGTATGTATATTTATATATATATATATATTTTCATATTTATACTACTATTAAAAATATGAATACAATTATGGAACTTTCTTTTGAATAAAATACTCATTTTTTGAGTTTAGTCTTTATTTAACTATAAGGTTTAAATTGTAAATTGAACTATTACTTTTCACCTCATTTAATTCCCTCTATTTAAATCTTACATGTTTTGATAAATGAACAAAAGAAAAAAGATGCACCAAAAAATTAAAACACTACAAAAGAAAAGAGTCTAACCAACACAACTCGATCCAATTATTATGTATTTGGATGATGTGTTTATGTAATTAGATTTGGATTTTGCAATCTGCATCCAATTAATAATAAAAAACAACAAAAATATATAAAATAAAACATTAAAAACACATAAATTTTATTGAAAATTTTGGATATATTATTACTATCATAATAAAAGAAGAAGAGTTCCTTTTTGTATAAATTGCAGCCATTTCCTCGCAAGTCGCAACATGAAGTGAAAGAGTAGTAGTGTAGAACATGTGCAAAAAGATCCCATCCGAATGGTGGATGCTTGAAGCATCATTACACTGCAAATATTCTTGGTTATTTCCACCTTTTTACAGTTAAAGAACCCCAAAACACTCTCATTGTGGGGAAGTTCTTTTTTTTTTTATGAGTTTTTCAATAAACTGTTAACGGAGTGTCTGACCTCAAAACCACTAGCCGACAGAGTTTTTTTCCCCCTTAATATCCTTGTACTGAGCAGGCAGAGTTTTTTCCCCCTTAATATCCTTGTAATGTGAAGTTTCATACTAAAATTGTGTGTTTATGGAGCCACTGTGTGGACTCTGTGAATGCCATTTGCAGATCTCGTAAGGAAAGGGGCCACATGTAAAATCCGATTTTAGGCTTTTAGACCCCGTCCACTTTTCGGTAAGTTATTTACCCAGGTAAATGCGATTATCTGGATAAGTTTTTCTAGGGAAACACTTACCCGGGTAAGTGCATTTACCCATGCTTTTTTTTTTTCATGTAAATAAGGCAATGGCCATTTTAGCCACAAAAATCTATTATTAAAAATGGCATTTTTGTCCCATTCAAGTGTTGGTAACTTTCTCTCTAGGTGGGAAAGTTATTTACCCACCTAGGAGATGGGTATACCCAGGAAAATAAACTTTCCCTGATCCCCACATAAATCTGAAAAAAAAACATGTGATTCTTGGTCAATGAGAACCAAAATCCCATTAACCAACTTCCCCCCTCTCAAAATCCAAAAAAAAGAATGCCCCCTTAGCTTTAGGGGAATGTGGTAGTAGCTAGAACAAAGGAAATGACTGAGAACATTCATTCACCATTCACCAATGAGTAAAGAGTAATGAATACTTAGCTAGAGGATGATGGTGAGATGGTCCAGGGCACAAGATGCTTATCACCATTGATGAATGATGATGCAAATCCTGTTAAAAGTGTTTTGACGGCTAATAGGATATATTAAAGCTGAAGGAATCAAACATGTGTGAATGCACCTTCCTTAGTCCTTACTTATTGCCCCTCTCCCTGAACGGAAACTTATTTTTACTTTAAACAAAAGCCCACTTCTAAAAGCGGAAAGATGTTCTTCCCTGCATGAAGCCCATCAATTATCATCATTAGTGCAAGGTGAATAGATGGATGGATGTTAAAGATGTGTAATCATGAATTCCACAGCCTAAACATCAGGTGGTCCACCGTCCACCCTCATCATCATATCATACACTCCTTTTGTATGATTGGGTGCTCAAAGATGGGCTTCTAACCTTCAGACCCAGTAACTCCGATGGGATTTAGTGTCACAATTCACTGGGCTGATAGCCCAATGGTTTGGAAATTGGAATAGGATCAACCAAACAGTGAAGCACGTGGGGAGGAACAGGATGAAGACTTAGGGTGGATCAAGAATGCTTGGAAATGCTTTGATCATTCGATTGGCTTTTGTTTCTATTTTAATAGGATTAAAGAAGTATCACATCTGCTGCTACTTGTAATTAATAGTACTGACAAATTAAAATCTGAAAGGGACTGAAAAAGTATTGGTGGCATGGCCTTGCGCCTACCAACCTTTTGTTGCGACTGGAATGAAGAATTGTAATGGTTCTGGGTATAATTTTGTAGTTATAATTTAATATACGAAGCATATATACTTTGATCTGCTTTTGCACTCTAGTAAATCTTCGATGGGGGCAAAAGTTACCAAGTCTTTGTCAAGCTCTGGTTGGCCAATTGGTTCATGCCCCATAAAAGGTTTTTCTCCCCCTTTTTCTTCCATCTTTTGAGTTTTCTAATAATCGTGGACCAGCATCTCCAAACTAGTATTCCTTCTTTGCTTTTGAGACAATTATTTGAGTGAAATTAGGAATCTAGATGGGCTTGCATTCTTTTCTCTTTTTTCTTTTTCTCAATAAACAAACATATATGCCAATAAATGGATAAAGATGGCAAAAATGGAATAGCAATTAATCCTACACAGGAATGAATCTCTCTCTCTCTCTCTCTAAAGAGTAAAGACTAAAGCCAACTGAACTGATCCATTATCTGGAAACTTGTTCTGTTGCAACTTGCAAGAAGCCATTAATTTAGGGAGGCCAGAGAACTGGAACAGAGAAGATTTTAACTTTGAAGGGGGTGGTGGTGGTGGTGGTTACTGGCAGTGGTTAGTGGGGGGATTGGAGAATTAGTGATTTAGAATTACAAGACGCATTGGTATGAGGAATTTGAATAAATGAGACTGGTTGCGGTTGAGAGAGAGAGCTTAAAAAGATGGACTTTCTATTCATTCTTTTGACTATTAATTACCATTAAATTATTTTACAAAAGAAAACCAATGGGAGCTAAGCCCACATTTATTCCATACGTAATGCCACCACTCAGCCCTTTGTTATATAAAGCCCGATGTACCTTCCCTTCTTCAGCATCAAATCCAGTGTCTCTCTCTAACGGTTTTGAGCCATGGAGAAGATAACAATAACGAGACAAGGTCTGTTAATTTTGGTGGTGTGATCAGGTGATGTTTATGTCTTTTCCATCGATCTGGGTCTCAAGGGAGGTGACAGAAGAGAGTGAGCACACATGGTTTTTCTTGCATGGAGGCTCATGCTCGAAGCTCTGCGTGCTCGCTCTCTATCTGTCACCACCCACCCTCCTCCGACTCGGCTCTCTCTCTCTCTCTCTCTCTCTTGCTTACTGCTGTTTCTATATTATTTTTTTT